GCTTGGATGTGCGGGTGGTGTAATGGTTAACGTCTTCAAATTGAAAATCGGAAAGCCGAGTTCCAATTCCAGTCCGGATTGTTATATTCTCTTACGTGCAAATATCCTTAGGAAAAGTATGGATCCACTTATTCTTCCCGGCCCCAGATATAGGTTAATTAATAGGACATATATCAATAAATAATTATTATTTCCCAAAAACTCTTAAACTCTAAAAAATTGTTTTATGTCTTTAAATAACCTACAAAAGGTTGATAAACCGTAAAATACAAACCAACCAACCAACCAAAGATACAATAATTCCCTTCCAACCGGATATAATAATTCATCCGGAGAAGGTCCTATTTTTCCGTCGTTTATTACTCCTAGATCGTTAAATGTCTGTATGAGTTTTTACTTGACTTCGCCAATACGTAGCTAAAACCTTGGGCTGTGTCTTACTGATGAACATATATATATATATATATATATATATATATATATATATATATATATATATATATATATACATTCTTATTGTTAGAAATTAGTCCAGTAAGTACCTTACACCTACTGTTATCTTCTGTCTGTTACAGGAGCCAGATTAGGCTGAAATGGAGTACTGATATCATATATCGGCAAGAGATACCCAGTCTTCACTTTTCAGTTTCTAAAAGCGCATTCGCATCCTTGTGGGTATTGAATTATTTTTCACAAAAGAAAATTTCGCAAGCCTCTCGCTACCCTATCGCTATTTTCACGGAAAGTCTTCAGACCAACTACTTTCCTTCGTTCCGCCAGTTCTAATCCTTCAGGGCTAAGATCCACCATGCCATGTACAGTGTAGCGAACCACCCCTATTACCTTCTTATTCGTGAGTTCTATACGAGTAGCTTCTTCTCACGAAACGCTAATTTGCGGAAACGTCTCCCAAGATGATGCTTCCACGTCCACTACAGCCTTAACCTGTTCAAGTCTAGGATTAATCGTTATCCTCCTCACATATCTCTATAAACTGTGCCTTTGTAAACTTCTCGAGCGGCTCTTGGATCTTGTACAAGATGAATATCATTGTAAAAATGTGCCCTGTTATTGCTTACTATTACTAAGATTTCTTTTAGTTTTCTTACATTAATGCTGATTTATTGGAATAACTTGACCATGCCTGCATGGTAATATGGCCTTGTGAAATATGGAGGTACATCAATATGCTAGCGGCCTAATGCTAAAATATATTATGAGATGTGCCAAAGATTGTATTTGTACACAAAGACAACTGGACATGTCCTAACTTCCGTCTAATTGAGACGCAGACCAGATGAGTCATTCATTTCCGAGCGCTAAAGGAATTTGTAGATATTTATGTTATACCCTTGGCAGAAAATGAGCGAAAAGAATGATAATTTTGGGTGAACATCACTAAACGTGTAAATCATACGTTAGCCTTCTTTTAACAGGGCTAATGTTTGATACAATTTGATAACGTTTGATACTGTTCATTATATGTTTCTGTGTTCTTTGTGCTGTATTATATAGCTTATACCGTAAAACTTATAGTGAACTGGAATGAAAACTGATTCACTGTGTCGTACAAGAAAATCTTTCCCGTCACAATCCACCTTGCACATTTATAAATATACCATTCGTCCGAACATTGAATCCTGTTGTTATATCTGGCCTGGTGTACATCTGGCGAATCTTGACAAAATCCAAAGAAGGATCTGTAATGTAATCGATCCTGACCAATCATCCCGACATCAGACACTTTCTCATTAATGTGACATGGCTTCCCTCTGTATTTTCTACAAATATTTTCATGGCAACTGCTCGGTGAGTTATTTTTCCCCTGGTTCCCCGACTACATGAATTTAATCGGGCTACTAGATTGCCGTCTAAGTCCCACCATTTTACTGTTAAAATGACTCGATGCAACCACACTTCTATTCCAACAGTTTCTTTTCTCGTACTTCCTACCTGTGGAACTCTTTCGATTTCTTGCTTTCCTCACAAGTAAAATCTTCAAAACTTTAAATGCAACGCCATTCGCTATCTTCTATTTTTTTTAAGTCCTTTTTCTTTCTTGTCCTTTCCTCAATCCTTGCCATTTTCATTTTCTTTCACTTTTACTCCCTGTAACCCACCTGTATTCTCTTTACTCACCTGTATTCTCTTAACCCACCTGTATTCTCTTAACCCACCTGTATTCTCTTATCATTTTCACTTTGCTTGGTTGCTTATTTTGTTTTATGTCATATCAAACTCAGTGTGTCATTTAATGCCGACAATTTTTATTGCTGGTAATATTTTGTTTTGTCAAAAATCTATTTCTGGTAATATTTTTTTTCCTCCAAAAATGTATAGTTGGTAATATTATTTTAAAAAATGTATTGCTGGTAATTTTTCTTTCAAAAACTTTTTGTTTGTAATATTTTTTCTTCAAAAATTTATCTCTGGTAATAAATTTTAGAAAATATTTCTGGATTTAAAACCTATTTATACACTTTCATAATGCTTTTTACCTCAGTTCGGGGTTAACTATTTGCCCATAGCTGGGACCCTAACAGCTGCTACCACCCCGGATCAACGTGGACCTGGGAACACCAGCAATTAAGAGGTAGTCCCACGCTCCTCAAAACTTCCTGATCAGAGGCCTTGCTGTTGGACGTAGTTTATCGTCTTACTCAGGACGCGGATGTAGTTTATCGTCATACCCAGGACGGGCCGCTTTGCTTGGGGTGAAATGAATACAAAGAAACAACAAAAAGAAAAAATACTTTGAAGAAATCCAGTGGATCCCCCCACGCCCAAATGGTCCAGGCACTTCAAGAAAGGGTGAGAAGTTGTTCAGGATGAAGGAAGAAGTAGGGAGCCAAAGACGTAAAGAAAAATGTGAATGTGGGGAGAGCGTCAACCTCTCTGCGCTCAGATCCGAGATGAAGAGTACGAACGATAGCAGAAGAATTGATTAAGAAAAGGGAAATAATGTGGCAGATCAGAAAAGATGATTTGTGAATGATAAAAAAAAAAAATGATGAATAGAGAGCTTGCTTGTTTCTGGCGAAGAAATCTTTATAGAAATGGGCCATTTACCTCATTCACCAGGATCCAGTGATTTTCGCTATTTCCAAAACTGAAAGAACATACAGAAAGCTGCAACTAAGTACTAATCAGGTTCTGGCCCAAGACACGACGCTACAGATCGAACTTTATAATCAATAGTAATGGTTACCTATTACCACAAGCCGGAACTACTACCTAATGGCAACTTTCAAATAAAACAAAAATGTATGAGTTATTGGCAGGACGCTTGACCATCGACTGAAATATACTCGCACCATGCGCCTCTGATATCGTAGGCCTATATAATAAAAATTGGAGGCATTACTTTTGGAGCTACCACCCATGGCTACACTTCACGAACAAAAATTAGACGGTGGCTCATGAACTTCCCACAGTTACAGAAGGTACTTAGGATGCATTCGAGCGTTCACTTGGTAACATTAAATATAGCGTATACAACACTAAACCCATACTATAAAGTAGGAATTTAGTTGCCAGGGGTAAACTATGTTATTTATATATAAATATATTTTTTCTCAAGAAGTGATAGATTTTATTACTTAAACGTGACTTTCAGGGGATACCCATATTTGAGTAGACGATCCGTTTATTTATTAAACAGTATGCTTATTTTAGTCTACAGGCCTGAATATTCGAGAAATGTAATTAAGGACAAAAAATGCGCTCCTCGGTACGATTCGAACCTGCTTTCGCTCTTGGCAGGAGAAACCGTTGTTAGATCTGACGAGATTTTAGACGATCAAGCGAAGTTAAATCATGCCTTATAAACACAAATATTTATTTATTTTCGTCCGCCGGCCAGAATATTCTAGAAATCTTATTGAAGAAAAATTTGAGTTCTCCGGCAGAATTCGAATTGCTTATCAGAGTAGGAGGGTCGGATGAATCTGTTGAATTAATAGTCGATATCGAATATATAGACCATAAAATCTCTAAACTTCAAATTTTAATCATACTCAACTAGAGTCCGTTAAGAACATCACAGCATTTAAATATTTAGAAGCTGATGAGAAGGGATACGCGAAACTCTAGGGACGGTCACTTTGGTAAGTCCATTGGACTTTTATTAATTTATTGAATATTATCATTCTAGGTTAAATTCTCATATTTTTTCGAATTTCGTTAGGTGTCTTTGATTTGTATTGAATTTATATATATATATATATATATATATATATATATTGTGTTAAATAAAGAATGAATAGAATACAACTTCAACGTTCGTAACATTATTTTAAAAAAGGGTTCAATATAAAGTAGAGCAATATTATTTATTCTAAGATATTACGTTAAAAACATGTCAAAAAGGATACACAGTGGCAGTTGTGTTTCGATGCGAATCAACACTTTTCTTCAGAAATATTTCGAAAGTGGAGCTTGAAAAATGAAAATGAATCTCCTAAAATGAAATGGAAAATTTTAAAACTGACAAGAACATGTAGATCCTTATATGAACCGTGTTTTCTGTGTTTACAGGAAAATTGTAGATTATCAGCTTCTTGGATAACGATGCTTTATTAAATCAAAGATTTGAGTTAAGGGTAAATTGTAAATATACTCTACTTTTACCCTACAATCCTGCTAAACTTTAAAATTTGACAATTGCCTTTTCTTAGAATTAAATTGAACTGTGTTGTATTAATTTATGGCTTATCTTTCTGTCTGTGAAATCAATTTCGATTTAATATAATTTTTGTATTTATCTTCTAGTATTGTTAGTAACATTTGGTACAGATGAATTAGCGTTTAGCTGACATTTTACCATTTTGCATTGATTGGTTATTGATATTAACATCCTATATAAAGAACCCTAATTCAATAGTTGCACTTTATTTTACTCAGTTCTATATGTTTAAATAAATAATTGGTTTCTTAAAGAGCCTGTTTATTTACCAACTATAAAAGAGTTTCTTTTTTTTTTAACTCACAGGGAATGTAGC